AAGAAGAAGAAGAAGAAGAAGAAGAAGAAGAAGAAGAAGAAGAAGAAGAAGAAGAGAAGAAGAAGAAGAAGAAGAAGAAGAAGAAGAAGAAGAAGAAGAAGAAGAAGAGGAGGAAGAAGAAGAAGAAGAAGAAGAAGAAGAAGAAGAAGAAGAAGAAGAAGAAGAAGAAGAAGAAGAAGAAGAAGAAGAAGAAGAAGAAGAAGAAGAAGAAGAAGAAGAAGAAGAAGAAGAAGAAGAAGAAGAAGAAAGCATTCATGTAGTGCTGTGAGAGACATACTTTGTCACAAGATAACCAAAAGTAGAAGAGAGAAATCAACTGCACACAACTCATTACAACTGAATTATCAAATACCATGTACACTCAATCAATATGAGGGGTAGCAACCTGGACAGTTAACAAGCATTTAGAAAGTCAAACTGAGTCTTTAGAGATGTAGTTACTCGTATTATAAACTAAATAGTTAGGAGTTTTTCAGTGTGTGTGTGTGTGTGTGTGTGTGTGTGTGTAGGTGTGTGTGCGATGGAGAAAAAAGAGGCAAAAGGAGAGGGTAAAAACATGTTTTAAAGAAGCTAGGTACGAGAAGATGGCTACTTTTTTTATATAAACAAATTAGGACGTCAAATATTTCGCCCAAAAATATAGGTCTAGCCCTATATGCCCCAAACGTCTAAAGGCGTAGAAAAAGGATCTTTACCTACTTTACTAAATTAAAATTCACAACACTTTTTTTTAAAAGTCGTACTGGAGGTAAAATTAGAGTTAAGTTACAGTTAAAGTCGAGTGGATCAATTTGGTTGCACCGAGCTTCATACTATACAGCTCGGTCTCTATTTAGTGTACGGCTGGCTGGCTGACTGTTGAGAGTGTCGTAGAAAGAGTGAGCTCCGTAGCACCAGCGACGATCCACAGAGATCTTTAAAAAAAATTGAAATCCTGATTTGAGTGACTGTTTCATGCCGACGACTTCCAGAGTGCGAGACAAACAGATTAACTAATTCGCTACAGAAACCACCCATCTCCCCCTTTCCCCCTGAAAAAAGTCATTGTCAGAGGGAAGTGAAAAAGAGGTAGAAAGCAATGCAAGTGAAGGTTAACATCAAGAGAGCGGCAAACAACAGTCTCAGAGAATGTAGAACCTGAGAGACAAGCGCTACACGTGAAGGTTAACATCTATATATCGGCGAAGAACAGTCTCAGAGAATGTAGAACCTGAGAGACAAGCGATACAAGTGAAGGTTAACATCAAGAGACTGGCAAACAACAGTCTCAGAGAATGTAGAACCTGAGAGACAAGCGGTACAAGTGAGGGTTAACATCAAGAGACTGGCAAACAACAGTCTCAGAGAATGAAGAGCCTGAAAGACAAGCGGTACAAGTGAAGGTTAACATCAAGAGATCGGCAAAAAACAGTCTCAGAGAATGAAGAGCCTGAAAGACAATCGGTACAAGTGAAGGTTTAACATTATGAGATCGGCAAACAACAGTCTCAGAGAATGTAGAACCTGAGAGACAAGCGGTACAAGTGAAGGATAACATCAAGAGATCCGCGAAGAACAGTCGCACTGAATTGAGAGATCCGAGAAACAGAGTAGACTGGAAGTCGATTGCAGCCTGTTTCTACTATCTAAATGTGACTGATCGGTTGTTTGTTATCAGAAGTATAAAACAAAGAGCTTGTCATCTTCGTCGTCATCAGTATCTACTTTCGCCGTTAAGCGTTGTAGGTAGAAACAGTTTTCGATCCATTGCTTGATAGGCAGCAATAGCTATTGTCGTTTCGTGTGGATGTAGAAGCTCTTTAATGACATCAATCCATGTTGTCTAATGGTGGCTTCTGGCTTTCACTTCAGATCTGTTTCTGCGTTGGCAGTTGTTTAGGCTGTATTCTTACTAAATGACCAAACCATTCTATCTTATGTTTCTCAGTGAATTTGCTGCATGATGTTTTTCCTACAGTCTGTCTGATAATATCATTTCGAACTTTGTCTCGGATGGTTAAGTTGGCAGCTTTTCTTAGGCATCTTATTTAATTTTACGTGGGTTAACCTTCGATAATGTGCAAGTCTGACACTGTTTGCACAGTGTTGGTAGGAATATAATGTTTATAATCTTTTTTCTTGGCACTCAGACTTAAGTTTGGGTGTCTCAATAACGATGTCACAGGGTATATAGGTGCACTGAGAATATACTTCATTGATAGTTAAATTCTTTAACTTGCTTCATCAGAACATCAAGGAAGATTGGCTAATAAACAGCATCCTGTCTCAGAAGATGACATATTTTGGTCATATCAAGCGCCACGACAGATTAAAAAAAATATTAGCAAAGGTTATGGTACAAATAAGAAGGGGCAGGGGCCGACCAACACGAAGATGGGCACAGGGTATAAGTGACTCTTTGAGTACGAAAATACATGAGGCGAATGAGCTGGCGAGAGACCGAGTTTCTTACAGGCAGACTGTGATGACAGCAACGTTCTGCAAAGAACTTGCTACACGATGATGATTAACTTGCTTCAGGCAAATACCATTTAGCCTAATATGAATAGAGCCTGTAATGTCATGAAACATAGTTTGATGCATTGTTTAACTTTGTGAATGAAGCATCGGAACTTGTTGGCTGTCTCAGTGGCACCGTGTTTAAATTATTCTAAAATCTAATGACGTGTCTTCATGCAAGACTGGCATTGTGAAGACAATAATAAGTGCGATCTTTCTCTTCTTGTTTGGCAGCGGCAGAAACTAGACACCTGCCTGTGGGTATTGAGGTCTTTGATTCAAAACAGAACTGAAACAATGGATTTTAAAACCAATTTTTCCCAATGTGGGTTCCGGGGCCCCAATAACAAGAACTTGGAGAAAAAACCATCCACATAAATCAAAGTTTTAAATAACATCAAAGAAGCAATCACCTATAACTTATAAATGTGTGTACTAGCATCGGTATGATGGCTGACACCGTTTTTTTTTTTTAAATGACTGCTTCTGTGATGTACGAAGTGATCATGTTACCAAAAAAAAAAAAAACGTCCTTAGCTTTCTGTTTAAAAATATTTTAAAATTATTGTAATCATAATTAAAGTGAAAAAGAAAATGTTAGTGTAACATATTATTACAAGCACAAATGTACTCTTATTTGTAAGTCATTCACACTTCCCTTAAAACTGTCTTGCTCCCCGTATTAGGAAGTTGCGTTGAACTGATGAACTGTGAAAGAAACAGCAGCATATTGTGCATGTCCCTGTCGAGCAAAACCATTACCGTGCGCCATTCCGTGATATAGATTTATATATAAACGGGATTCTTTGTTACTCTTATTGTTACTACCACACGTGTGATATTAGGTCGATCACTCTGAAGATTTGTTTCATTAAACCGGTAAATATATTTTTTATTAGCCAACAAGGGCTAAGAATGGCTAAAGGGCTGTAATGGCGGTCATTATTCAAAGGGCTGCCCCCCCCCCCATATTTGCAAGTTTGCCCCTTAGCTATGTAGAGATAGTTTCAACCTAAAATTTTGTTTATACAAATCCGTTTATTTATACGTTACGAACCAATACAAATAATGCCACTATTATTAACGCTGTTGCGCACTTAAACAAGATTAGCTTGTTGAGACAGGTCCTCTGGCCATTGACAGTTATAAGGATCTGAGACTACACCAACCCCCCCCCCCCCCCCCCCCCGCCTCTCTTTTCCGCTTTCCATGAAGTTTCGGTGGCCGTGCTCCTGATACTTCACACGTAAAGTCACTGAGATCTGTAAATGAAGGACAACAGTATGAGACGGTCAGTTCGCCTATCTGAAACTGTTTTTTTTTTTGATATTTTTACTAGTAGAGCTGCATATGATGTCACAATATAGGGTGGTTAGGCGCTTGTTGGTATTAATTTACCAATGTTAGATAAAGGGCTAAAAGAAAAATAGAAATAATAATATTGGTTTCCCTTCAGCTAAAAAGGATACTTCAAATTTGTATTGTTAATTCCAGGTAATTAGTAGACCTATCATTCTTATTGCATATCAAACAACTCATTACGACGTGTTCGGATACATCTCTCAGCTTTGTTGAATGTTGAATAAGGAATCGACATCACAGCACCCGGGACACTCCCATAACTGCTCAGTTTTCATCTTCAGCAGCAAGCGAAGAGTTCCAATTTCGATGGTACCAGTAACTGTCTGATTGTATATCCATCTCATCCTTCTCCTGAGTGTTGAGCATCGCTCAGATGACGCCAGTTTTGTGGTGGTTTGTTATAACTCTTTTGGTCCCTATCGCATGGTCTTAGTACACTTCTTGCATTCAGGCCATGATCGCAGATTTCAGTCATCGAATGATTCGCGTAATTGTCCTACTACTTATAGGGTAGACAGTTTATCCGACTAGTCCATTGCTAGTCCGTCCTTCACAGTAGCCTTGTCTGCAAGTCTTTCAATTTTGTTCTTCTTCTTTTACATCTGAATGCTCTAGGACGTGCACATGTGCATGTGCAACACCTACCCATCCACCCATACACATACACACATATACACATGCACACACATACACACATATACACATACGCACCGATGTTAAATACTGTCAACCATGGCTGTCTTCAGAAACTCTAACCGCCGTCTTCGAGCTTAACTCTTCTCAATCTGCCTTGCACAAATTCAATAAATCATTGGAAAAGTATACATGGGTGAACGTATCTGTCTCCACTCATAATGTTTTAGTTACAGTTTAGTTAAATCTGTGCCGTACATATTCACACTTTTAGTCAAGCCAACAGTTGCAAATGGTTCCTTCGCAATTCCTCCTTCAACATGAGCTATAAAAATCCATCAGCTCCAAGGAATTAGCTTTTGGTAGGCAGTGTGATGTTTGTACTGAACATTTCATCAGAGGTATTCACACACCCGCATAGTCACTTTGTTGGAGAAGAAACACTTAATATCGGGATGGATTCTAAACGAAGTGTCTTCAAAATGGTACTCTTTGTGAATCCACAGACAATGATATCGATGATCTGGAAATGCAAGTGGTGCACTACAAGCCAGAAGGGCTGGACATGTTGTGCAAGAACACCAAGTTTACTCGCAAGGAGCTGCAGATTATGTATAGGGGCTTCAAACAGGTAATTGTGTAGTGGCTGTAAACTGTGTGCACATGTAATGTTGAGCAGTTCGTATTATTTCAAAAAAGAGTAGCTAGTTAAATAGTTTGTCAAAATTATGCACACTTAATGTTGAACAGTTTGTATCACAATTAAGTAGTTAGTAGTCTGATGAAATACCTTGTCAAAAATTAACTATTGTAAATATATGGCATTTTATAAATTCAATAGAAAATTTTCCCATTGTAGTTTTCCATCATGCAGATACAAACAATACATGACACGATTTGTTGCCGGCATATTTCACTGTAACCCATCCGGTGCATTACTACAGAGTTACGTCAACGTATACTGGGAAACAAATACGGAATTATTGTCAATGAAACACACATCCGGGATAAGTGGACACCTCTGGATGCCCTAGCAATCGAAAAGGTTGCTGAAGGCTGAGGACGCAGTCTAAACCCATGTGGATGTGGAAAGCACATTACTACTACATCACTATCCCAAGAAACTCATAATGGAAGCCAAAAATGACATTAGAAAGATGGAAAGAATACTGTAGAGAAATGTATGAGAATGTGACAAAAACATTTTGAAAGTTATGAAAAAGAACCAGAGCCTTTACTGGATGAGGTACGATCAGCAATACACAGCCTGAAGAAAGGAAAGTCACCAGGTTGGGAAGAGATACCAGCAGAACTAATTCAAGCAGGAGGAGAGGCCAGGGTCCGAATCTACCATGCATTGTGCTCGAAGATCTGGAACAGTGGCATTTGGCCTAAAGCGTGGAAAAGAACAGTCTATATCCCTCTCCTAAAGAAAGGAAATCTGAAACTATGCTCCAACTCCCCTACCATCGCATTAATGAGTCATGCTAGCAAAATCCTCTTACGAATTATTTTAAAGAGGATTGAAGGGAAATTACAAAATGAGCTAGATGAAGCACAAGCGAATTTCAGACAGGGTAGAGGAACTAGGGATCACATCTTAAATATAAGAATAATTTTTGAAAAATGCAGAGAATACAACGTAGATCTTCATGCTGGTTTTACTGATTATAACAAAGCATTTGAGTGTGTCCAACACCACAAACTGTGGACTGTTATTAAAAGTATGGGGTTTCCAGCGCATTTGGTGCATTTAATTGAAAACTTTTTCATGAACAAGCAGCCATCAAAGCAGCTGGTGAAACATCTGATTGGTTCTAGGTGCAAAATGGGGTGAGGCAGGGGTGCGTTCTCTCACCATACCTATTCAATATATAAGTAGAAAATATAATGAGAAATGTCAAAAATGACCAGACTTGGGACAGTTATGATTCGCTCAGAATTGGTGGCAACCATATTCGGGAACTTCACTATGCAGATGACACAGTCCTACTTTCGAACAGCGTAAAGGGAATAGTAAATTTAATATTGGCTGTCCAAAAGCACAGTGAAGATCAAAATCTGTTCTTGAATTTAAAGAAAACGAAAATAATGTCCACAGATAAAATTGGCTGTCACCTAAAAAAAAAAAAAAACAATAAATGAAACAGAAATTAAAAATGTCACAAACTTTGTATATCTAGGCTCTATAATAAACAGCAATGGAGGCTGCTTGACAGAACTTAAAAGGAGGATGGCCATAGCAATGCAAAGATCGAAAGCCTTAAAAAGTCTATGGTTAAGCACCAGCAAGGAGATCAACATTAGAATTTTTAGAGCATGCATCTTCTCTGTGGCTACATACGGATGTGAGTCGTGGACTATCTCTGGTACTTAATTTATAACTTACCCCTGACGTCACGACAACGTCACGGGAGACATTCACAATAAATTCTAGGGTGTTCAGGTTGTAGTTTCTCGCTATTTATCTTTAGCCAATTTTAGGGTTAGGGTTAGGGTTAGGGTTAGCATTAGAAGACACTAGATGAACACTCAAAAAAAGCACCACACAACAGCACACTTCCACCCCTTGAAATAATGGACTGTCAGGTCAGCTGTGGATTTCTTGTTTGGGATACGTTATAAATTAAGAACCCTATCTCTCAGTCCTTAAGAAGGAGAATATGAGCTTTTGAGCTGAAATGCTATAGAAAGATTCTCAGAATATCTTGGACAACGAAGAGGAGAAATACTGACATCTTGAAAGATCTGAACATCAAGGAAGATTGGCCAATAAACAGCATCCTGTCTCGGAAGGTGAAATATTTTTTTCATGTCAAGCACCACAACGGATTGGAAAAAATTATAGCAGAAGGTATGGTACCAAGAAGGAGGGTCAGGGGCCGACTGACACGAAGATGGGCACAGGATATAAGTGACTCCTTGAGTATGAAAGTATATGAGACAGGAGAACTGGCGAGAGACCAAGTTTCTTTCAGGCAGGCTGTGTTGAGAGCGACGTTCTTCAGTGGACCTGCTTTATGAGGATGATGATGATGAAACACACAAATTACTTTTTCTTTTTCTTTTGTTTTACTAAAATTGACAAATATTATATTATCAAAGTCAACAACATAATAAAGAATGCTAACATTCACAAGAGACTACTCAAAATTAGAAAACAAAGGCGAGGTGGGAGCCACAAGCATCAACTGTCATGGTATGGTCTCAATATAAGACATAAAGGAAACACCAGGAAGGAGCAAAACTGAGGACAGGATTGAATGGTGTTCTAAAGATCATTATCCTCTTCATTACAATTATTTTCCACTTGTGTAGCTAAGCGTTGTGGACTGGTACTGTCTGGGATAGGTAAAACTGGCTGTTGTTATTCCCTGTTGATGTGGGATGACTGTAATGTCATAAGTCTTATCTTCTGATTGGCGCTCACTTTAACATCAGATTACTGTAGGCGTAGCGCCTGTGTTGATGGCTGGTATGAAGATGACCGAACAATCCGATCTAATACTTAGTGAATTTTGTGAGAATTGTTGATCTCCGCCTTGCGTGGTTAAGTTGACGGTTTTCTCGGGCATTTCATCTTATAAATAATGCTGCGTAATTAAAGACAACGACACAAGACTTTTAACGAAATGTCAAGAATTTGTCATGACAACAGCCAGAAGTGAAATAATTAGTCTCACACAACAGTTCGATCCTCTTTTTAATGAATTTATTGATCTCTGTTTAACTCTGCCTTGCATGGTTTAGTTGAGGGGTTTCTCAGACGTTTTATCTCATAAATAGTGTTGCGTACCATAGCCTTTGAGAATGTCCACGTTGGCACTGGTAGCACAGTGTTGGTATGAAGATGCTATTGAAAATCATTTCTCGGCAGTTATACGTGTGTTTAGATGTCTCAGTAACGGCGTCATTAGCCTTACGTGCACTAATCTTTTGGCTCTTCGCTTTTCAAGTGATAACTCATGTGAAACAGGGACGAACAAATCTGTAACTGCAGGCATACACTTTATTAAAGAAAACGAAACAAGACTTGCAAAGAGATGACAAGAAAGTGTCCCCGACCAGTGTAAGAACTGAAGTAATGAATGAAAATAGTTATATCGACTGTCATTTTATCTTGTATACATAAAAGAAAAATTGCCAGAGAACATCAAAGCCATGTACCACACAAGCCAAGGTGCAGTAAGAACACACGAATACATATCATATGTGCTCAGAGTCAACACATGTGTGAGACAAGAATGTATGCTCTCCCCACTTTTGTTTGACATTTATATAGACAGAGTGTCCAAAGAAGGAAGTTCTAATACAAATGACATAGATAATTATACTAATGAGCAAGTACACAGATCAGACGAAGTAATCACCACATTAAACAAACTACCATTTGCTGACGACCAGTAATTGTTATACAACGAGGATGATAGACAGCGAGACTACATTAGCAGGTGAAAATCAGAATGCAGTAAAAACAAAATAAAGATCAATGCAAACAAAACAGAAATGATGCAAGTTTGTAGAATCACTGGCCCACTACAAAAACACCTGAATGTTTGTGGTCTATAACAATTTAGGCAGTTTAAATATCCAGGAAGTAAGATCCAGAGACATGGCAGAATTGACAGTGAAAGAGAAACCAGATGTCAGAAAGCAAGTGCACTTAATTACCACTTGTCGAATCGCATTATGAAGACATTCAAATATAAAAATATATGCAATATATATATATATATATATATATATATATATATATATATATATATATATATATATATATATATATATATATATATATATGAAACTATGTTTTAAATATGCACCCTCCTCCAGTATGAATATGAACTCTTTGTAATGTTTTTCATAAGGAATGTCCAACCGGGATAGTAAATGAAGAAACATTCAAGGAAATATATGCACAGTTTTTCCCTCAAGGAGGTAAGATTATATGTTAGTTATCATCAACATGACAATTATCGTCACATTTATCATCATCGTCATCTTCGTATTGTCTCATGTCGATAACATTTTCTATTTTTGTTGGCCATCTCAAACATCATAGATCAGGTCATTGTGTTTGTCCTTGCTAATGCGTGTAGCATTATTCCTTTCATTACTCCTTACTATTGTCTTTAGCCCACCCCCCCCCCCCTTTTTTTTTCCTCCCCCGCCCCTATGTGATCTGTCAGCTACACCCAAGTTTTCGATTTTAAACCTTCTCGCAACTTTGTTGTATCATGATATATCTTGGTTGTTTTTTTAAAGAAAAAAAAAATGCTCACGAAGTAAATGATAGATACATGGAGGGCTTAGCGTGGGAGAAGACGGAGAAAAAACAAACGAATAAAGAGAAGAAGAGAGAGAAGAAGGAATTCGTTTTTGGTCATCATTTGAAATAAGAACTTTGTGCTCATGTGTTTATCAGCATAGGACATGGTGTTTGTAATTATTTAAGAATGTGAAGGAAGGTCGAGGGCTAAAACCTGCAGTGTTATATATTTGTAAGACATGCAAAGTAAGCAGGCATCTGGAAGGGAACAGAAATCCAATGACAATGGGTTGTCATCATCATAATCTCATCACCATCATCATCAATTACAGTTTTGTCTTTTAGCGCTGTGGAGAGGAACAGTTTGCGATCTATTTCTTTATGGGTAGTAATGACTATTGTCATGCCAGTTCCTTGTAGAAGCTCTTTGATGTCATCATTCTATGACTCATTGAATGACCCCTTGCTTTCATATCAGATCTTTTCATGTGTAAAGCCTTTCATGGCAACTGTGGCTGCATTCTCAGACGATGACTAAACCATTTGATCTTCTTCTGGTTCTTCAATAATTTGGTGCATGGTATTGTTCCACCAGTCTGTGTGATAATTTTCTTCTTCTTATTCATTCGTTTTGTTTGAAACAGGTTATATCTGCAGTTTTCTGTTTAGTATGAACTACATTGTCTTTTTTAATTCTCTTAGCGGTCCGTAATATTTGACTTCCCCCTGTGTTACTCTTAGCCAGAAGTTTTGCGCTAATTTATTGTATTTAAGACAGCCTTGGAGGACATGATATGTTGTCTCAGCTGCCAGTCCACATGGTCACATGGCTGATTCGCCCATCTTTTATGTGTGTAAATGTGGCTACTAAGTCGATTGTGCCCTATTCTGAATAATGATTTACTATAGTCTGTCCGTCATATCTGATAGTATCATCTCTAACTTTGTCTCGGATGGTTAAGTTTGAGGCTTTCCTCGGGCATTTAATTTCACATGCGTTGATTTTACATGGGGTAACCTTTGATGATGTCGACTTTGGGCACTGCTAATACAGTGTTGGTATGAATATGCTGTTTATAATCTGTTTCTTGGTGGTTATACTTAGGTTTGCATGTCTTAAAAAAGGTGTCGGTAAATAAGTGTACTGGCCTGCAGGCATCTTGTTTCTATTTCCCGATCCGTTCTCTCTTCCTCCGAGAAATATACTACCCAGTTATTTAAATTCTTAAACTTTATGCAGAGCAGAACCATTCACCCCTATATGTTGAGGGCTAGGGATTCTACTGACATGTACTGCCTCAGTTTAAATCGTATTTACAATCATATGTAGGAGTTTGTGCGTCTGGAGAGAGAGAGAGAGAGAGAGAGAGAGAGAGAGAGAGAGAGAGAGAGAGAGAGAGAGAGAGGAAAAAAAAGAGTTAATAAATCACTCTCATTAAACATAAGAAAATGTGTACTGAAATGTTGTATCGAGCCTGTTCTGTTAAATTGTAAGGAATCATAGAATGTGAGCCTACAAATTAGGAAGAATTTAGAGGTAACTGTAATGTGGTTCTTGAGAAGAATGTTGCGAATACATTGGGCTGCCAGAATAACTAGTGAAAGTAGAAAATCATACACAACAATGAGAAGGAGACCAACAAAGTTCTTTAGTCATGTGATGAGAAAAGAAACACTGGAAATATCGTGAAGACTGGAAAGATCACTGGTAGAAGAGGCAGAAGCAGACTAAGAGAAATAATGGTGGAAGGATTAAGGAATATCATCAGTGGAATTGATCCAGAACACCAAAGACCGAGATAGGTGGAGATGTATGAACGCCTGCGCCAGCTGTCCAAACACTTGATGACGATGAAGAGTACACTAATGTGGGAATTCATGAATACTCATCCATGCCTCTGCACTTGTTACAGTCCAAGTGTCAATTCTAAGGCTTCTTTCTGATGATTGTGTTCTTTGAGCTTACCACGAACGCCTGTGCAATTCGCTTGATCCGAATATCTGATCCTTCTATGTGAATAACATAACTAACACCTGTGATGCCTTTAGTCATCGTGAAAAATGCTCTCTACAACTTCTATCGTGTGATAAAGACAGAGATATTAATGTTGGCCCCAGTAGTAAGAGGAATCCATTCATCTGGACAATTATTGTAAAAAGACAGACACACCTGTTGGATTCACCCTTAACACGCCACACTCTAATTTTCTTCTTTTTCTTTGCGTTCACCGGCTGGGAAAAAAAAAAAAAAATTCCGGTGGAAAGTTTCGGTCGTTTATCCAACTCCGGACTTCAGATTTATTCCAGAACCTGAATGTTGCGTGCACATCTGTTTACAGATCTGACTTATTTGTATATAGACTGTTGGTTCCTTGAATCACAGGCAGGTGCACTCTGACTTCGATGGAAACCCCAATTAGTTGACTCCTACGAAATGCTTGTTGGGAAGGCACTGGGTCTATTCTTGTTTACCCCCACAATGGGGCCTCCGGAACCCACACGATGAGACAAGGAGTAAAAAATCTACCTAGATGTGACTTTTAACCTGAGATATTAGGGACGACAGGTAAAGGTCTGACAACCTTTCTATCATTGCTTCATGTCCTCGCAGTGATCTTCATTATTATCATCAACAAGTGCTTAGCTGACTGGCTTGGGTGATCAAACCCTTCCCCAAAATTCAATCTCCAATAGCATGTATAATTTCGTCTAATGACACCCTTCTATGTAATGATAAAAGGCTGTAAAATAAATTGTCTCGCTTTTAATAAATATTAGGCTAACTTTGTCGTCCCCATGTGGAATGACAGTTTTCGTTATTTAAAGCCTATCCTGGCTTTTGCCGGGGGCCCTAAATATAGCCGGGCTATAAATATAGCCTAACGGATGAACGAGATTCTTGGGACCTCTCCACTGGTGATCCTCATCCCGCATGGTGGCACTTTGTGTCACCGGGTGTTATCGCTTTGTGTGATGTTCTGGTGGAGTACAACTCACATACATTCACATTCTCCCGTTGTCCTCTTCCATATCTTTTTTCACAATTGTTTCCAGTGGTCACAACATGTTCCAGTTTCCTTCTTCTCGTAATAACATCGGGGGGGGGGGGGGGGTATGACTTTCTCCTTCTGACGTTTGTGATGAGTGATAAGGGATCAGTATACAATTATTAATTAATATGTTGTTCTGACGCCTAATGTGTCAATAGCTGAATTTGTGTGTTGTTGTTTTTTGTGTGTTAACAGATGCAACAGCATACGCACATTATGTGTTCAACACATTTGATCATGACCACAATGGTTCCATCAGCTTTGAGGTAAGTAGATCAACAAAATATCGAACGTAGCCAGCCAGTGTCTTTTTGACATGTTCTGAAAGGAATTTCCCTGAGAGCATGGTTACAGCTGATAAGACTGACTGAAGGGGAGCATAGGAAAGGCAAACAGTTAAAATCATGGATTATTCGGCCATATGGATGAGGGTGAGACAAGAGTACTTACCTGATCCATGATTCTGGGTGATCGTGTGAGATGACTAGACGTGACCGCATACGCTTATCTGTAGGACAAATGATGACTATAAGATTCCGCCCCCTTTAACTGTGTATACAAATTCTATGTACCGCTATCATGTTTTATTAATTCAAGTATATTATTATATTTACTTGCCATCCACGCACTACCATTAATATTAATTACATCATTATCACACTTTTAAACTAGATAAGGCCCTAAATCCTACTCCTCTCCCTTGCTTGTTTAGCAATTGATAAGCGGTTGTTGGGTGTTGAGCTAGGGGGCGCTGGCTATGGCACTTTGAGCGCCTCTTTAATGTCACTCTCCTCCACACCGGCCCACTTATTAATTATAACAGTATATATATGTATATATAAAAAAAGTAAACACACAATTTATTAATTGGCACTCATAGAAAGAAGTGGAAAGATAGAAGGACACAATGGACAACGGAAAAATCGAAAGCTATAGCTACCGTGCCGGGAATAGAACCTGTTACTCCCAAAAGGCGTGTGCGCCTCGCTATGGAAACAAGTGTGCTAAGAATATGACCAACTAGGCACTCCTAAAAAAAGGTGTCCTTGTTGACGATATCTATTGTACCGCCTGGAATCCACAACTCTAGGATGCCTAGTTGGTCTTGGTCTTTGTACACGTGCTTCCATAGCGAGGCGCACATGCCATTTGGAGGTGACAGGTTCGATTCCCGGCACGGTAACAATAGACTTTGATTTTTATTTTTTCTAGTGTGTGCTTCTATTTTCTACTTCTTACTATGAGTGCCCATCAATACATGGTCTATTTGTTTATTATTTTATATATATATATCATGTCTCTGCGGTCTCAGGTGTTTCCCCTCTGTTTATTTATTAATTATAAGGGGGCTAAAGTACCCCCCCCCCCACCCCCAGTTTCCTCCACCTCACCTTGCAGATTGGGACACACAAATTAGGTGTCTAGTACAATATTCCGAATGTGCCAATGAAAGAGAAGGAGCCTTTACCTTACTTTTACATAGAAGTACAAACATATAGCAGTTCTTAAGAAAGACAATAGGTGCTTTTGAAATGAAATGCTTTAGAAAGATTCTCAGAATAAATTAGACAAAGAAGAGGAGAAATACTGACATCTTGAAAGATGGAAACATCAAGGAAGATTGGCTAATAAAGAGCATCCTGTCTTGGAAGCTGACGGGTTGGATAAAATTATAGCAGAAGGCATAGTACCTGGAAGGAGGGACAGGGGCCGACCGACACGAAGATGGACACAGGAAAGAAGTGACTCCTTGAGTATAAAGTACATGAGGCGGGAGAGCTGCCGAGAGATCGAGTTTCTTTCAGACAGACCGTGATGTGAACGACGTTCTGCAAAGGACCTGCTACATGATGATGAAAAACATTTCGAAATATATCATCCGACTGTGACGCGTAACACGTGTTCTTGTGGGTGTGTGTTTACTGTTACCAACGTTGATAGCCAAATATACGTAACCCGGCCCAGACATGGCAGCAAACAGAAAAGTACAGAGCTGCAGCTGTTACTCTTAGTTGCAGATCAATACTGCAAACACATGAGTCAGATATGACTGTGTCAGTGTACATGTTCAGTGTGTGTTAGTGTGCATTTGTACTTAAATTCTCATTCTCATAATATTTTCAGTCATTATCCAGTATCTCAGATATTGTCAATGAACGGGCTGTGTACGTTAGAGTGTTGTAGTTAACTTCCAGTTTTCATATTATTTTCTGTTGCTAATATACTCTTCTGTATCTCTTATTTTAATAAAGGAAAGGTCTCTTTTCCCCGCCTTTAGGCCTACTTGGCATATAGGGCTAGCCCTATATTTTATAGACCAATCGGCACTCAATGGCTGAGGTGGTCAGCATCTCATCGGCTGCCTTTACTTCCCATGACTGTGCCTGGTATCAGCCTAAGGTTGGGTCGACCTGGGAGCCAAGGTCATTTTTGAAAAAAGTCCAACTCCGACAGGACCCGAACACGACCTTCCGATCCGCAGGCAAGAGTCTAGCCGCGACACCACAGGGGTTCCAATCTCTAGTATTATTATGTAAATAAACATGTTCTATTCATGTTAGCATTTTAAATGCCTTTTATGTGAGATCGTTTATTAACTCTTAACCAGTAAGTCAAGTAAATAAAGTAAAGGACTGTTTTCCACACCTTTCAGGCGTTCTGGGCATATATGGCTAGATCTATATTTTATAGACCAATGATACAAGATGGGTGATGTAGTCAGCATCACGCCGGCCGCCTTTACTTCTCAGGACTGCACCTGGTACTCACTTTAGGCTGGGTCGAACTGGGAGTCAAGGTCATTTTTGAAAAAAAAAAATAGTCTGGCTCTGCCAGGGAGCTAACCCACGACCTTCTGATCCCCTAACCAGTAAGAGTCTTACTATTTCACAACTACAGTATGAAGATGGACATGTGAGATCCTGAGACCAGCTCTAAGAATCATTTGTTGCCATGAACAGAATATATCGTGGCAAAAAGAGAACTACCATAAAAAGGCGTCGTGTCTGCTTCACTGAGTGTCGCTTCGTCAGTGGAAGGCCGCTGCAATAGATCTCCAACACTGACTGATTCTCTCCCTTGTACTGTGTCTTATGTTATCCAGACTCTTATATCGCAGTTTGATTCTTGTTCTCTTGTCTTCAACATTTCAATCGAGTCTGGTTCTAAAAATGGTGTGTGTGCCGTTCTACTGGTCCAAAAAATGACCCTTATCTCTTGTTTATTTCCTTCAGTATGTCCCTTGCCCTTCCAAGCCCCTCAAAAATGTTCGAATTTATGTGAAATACGACATGTTTTTCCGAATGTCCAAGTCCATGAAGTTATGTTATCACAATCGACGTCTTTGCACATTGTTGCATCCCCATGCATACTCAATCCTCCGATGCAGCAGCCACTCCAAGGTACCTCTACTGATTGTACTGAAAGTCCATGAGTTCAGTTTAACATTTTAATCACTAGTTTATTGTCCACGTTTGTGTGCCATAAAGTAAGGAAAAACTTTAGTTTGCGTGGAAGTACTCGAGCATCCAACCGATAGGAAATGCATTTTTAGTCACCTCAAAAAAAAAAAAAAAAATATTCAGTTTGTCCTTTTTAGAACGAAATTGTTTGTTATGTGAAGCCCCATCCTGGCTTTTGCCAGGGGCCGCAATAAAGGCAGGCCATAAATATGGCCAATTGTCTGAACGCAGTTCTGGGACTTCTTCACGGCGATCCTCATCCACATGGTGGCACTCTGTGTCATCGGGTGGTTATCGCTTGTGTGATGTTCTGGTGGGACAGAAAGTCAGTCAGTCAGTCAGTCAGTCAGTCAGTCAGTCAGTCAGTCTGTCAGTCAGTCAGTCAGGAAATGCATACATTATTGGATTATTAACTAATCATCATAATCTCATTGCAACAATGCAATATAGTTTCAAAGATAATCATCTTTAGGAAGTTGCGTTTAACGTGCATGGTTCCTGGCCATGTGGGAAATTAAATATTTTGAACTCTAATTTTTTTAGGGAAGAAAAAATACCAAACTCCTGCAGTAAATAACAACTAAATTTGCTAAGACAAATAGGTTTTGCTTGTGTATCACGGTAGCTAGGGCAGTTAATAGAATACCTTAATCAAAGCACTTGTGGAACTCTCTTCATCCAGTGTATAGGATTACTGATGTCACCTGTGACCCTTACGTACATTTAAGATTTAATGAAGAGCGATCTAAAGAACGTCATTCTAATAACTTCGCTACGATGACTAACGCTGTTGCATCTGTGATAATTTTTCAGTTGTCAACACTGTATCATCTGCACGACACAGACCCGTTATATTATAACCTCCAATTATATTCCTGGTGTTTCTTTGATCTCTCTCTCTCTCTCTCTCTCTCTCTCTCTCTCTCTCTCTCTCTCTCTCTCTCTCTCTCGTTTTGATTTACCTATGGTTGGCACCTGTCTGAATTTTTAGACAACAGTATTATTTATTTTGCCGGGGGGGGGGGGGGGTGGTAATCACAGCTCATGGCATTGGCGAGGGTCATTAGCAAGACCCGCTTACTTTAAGAAAAATCTGTCACATTAAGTCTATGAGATTTCATTAACATTGTTGTCATTATGTGTTGATTTGTTTCTCCAAAAACAATACCTGGCTATTCTTGTGCCGTCTGCACACACCACTGTATTGTAATAGATGTCGGCCCATATTTGTCTTATTTTAGTCTGTACACCAACTTACCATTGAGCATGCCAACAATTATTTGCCCCACTAGTGAACACCTGTATGACAACCATGAAGAAAATATCCTACCCACATAGGGCAGCAGATTGTCACCATGTATGCCCCAATATAACTATTGTCTTGTTGAAGAGGTTATCTGAGATTTGTTCCTGTTTGATTGGCAGTCAATCAGAGGTTCCTGGAATCACCAGGTTTCAAACCTTCAGTTTGCAATCCTAGAAGGGCAAGTGCAATTATTCTTTCCTTTTTCTTTTATCAACATATAGTCGAAACTCTATTTCCACTTAGTTAAGAGAAGCAATCTCATAGTTTATAAACTGTTCTGTTGAATTAGCGAACTTATTTACATAACCCTTCTCTTGAAAATTATATGACGCTGTTACGACTGAGGCTGTGTAATAGGTTATAGAATTGTCTACACATTAGAACAAAAATAGTTCGTGCAAATAAAATCTGGCTGCATTATTTTATTCAAGCACCATGTGTAGTGCGAATTAACTACAGATTTAAAGACATTTTTACTGAAACCTTTCGTCCTTAACTGCTAACACATACAGTTGCCCCCCCCCCCCCTCCCCCGACCCCACCGAGGGACTGCATGTGACTTGTTGCAGTTGTGTAGTGTCCCCACATAAATGTCCTATATGGCTGTATGATTGAACAGTGTTTCCGGGATTTGTACCAGTTTGATTCTCATTCTCATCCTAGTAGTAAGTAAAATAAAATTAAAGTTTCATTTTCAACAACTTGAGGCATGTTAAATATATGATGGTAATTCCGTGTTATTAAAGACAAACTAAATAAAAAATATAAAAAAAAGCAGTTATAGAAAAGAAGATTTGGGACTCAGTGACTAATGTGTTCAATGCGCGTTGAATTAACTTACTTAATTTTAGTTGTATTTACTTGGGTTTTTAACAGAATTCACGACTCTGTGAGATTGGAAAGCTTTACCATCAGACCGGTTACAAGCGGTCTATTCGCTGCGCTACCTGGGCCCCTAAATATTTTGTGGGTACTAGCGGTGGTGCTTTATTTAAAAATTTTTTTTTTACATTTAACCAGCATCCCCTAAAAGGGAGCTTAGGTTTTAATTGTGACTATGTTATGTGCACCATTTAAAAAATGGCTTAGAATTGCTCGCCACCAAGGTGCACTTGCAGTGCTGCTGCGATCAAAGGAGACAGACCCAGATACTGTCTCGACCAGCGACGAATTCGTCTTCCGGCGAGCCAATGGGCGATCCGGTGGCCGATGTATTTTGGGGGTATTAGCATCTTCTACTTCACGATCTTAACCATGATTATCTGCCCTTTACAGGAGTTTGTCACGGGTCTGTCTGTGTTATCAAGAGGGACATTCCAAGAGCGACTGCAGTGGGCATTTAGCCTGTACGATGTCAACGGGGACGGGATCATAACCAAAGAAGAAATGCTGGACATTGTGACAGCAATCTATGAGATGATGGGACGCTATACTGAACCTTCCATTGATGACACTACAGCCAAGGAGCATGTTGAGAGGGTCTTCCAGGTATGTCTTTTGAGCATAGCAAGCAGTGCAGAACAAGGTGTTTTAGTTTTATGTTAAACAGTTCAGCAGTCTTTTCATAGTCACGAGTCAACACTTTAGCTGTGAAATCATTCGAGGTGTATCCCAATAGGTATTGTAGAACTGTCCGTGATGCAGCGAGGTAAACTATTGTTTCCTCACATTACCACTACCATAACCCCCGTTAGTACCATTGTGATGATCATCATGTATCTTGACAACTAACATGGGCGATCATGTTTGTCCACATACTGGCGTCTTTAAAACAGTTGTTTCTAGAATCGTTCTAGATGTTTCAATAAATTCCAATTTTTATTTCATAATAATCTGTGTTACGAATGTTAATTTTTTTTTTTTTAATTTCATTTCTGATGATTGTGAAAAGTTATCATTGCGTTTTCTCTTCTTATCTCAAACTATAAAACAAACAGTAATACAGTTTTTTTAAAATCCTAATCCCCCGGGCAAGGTAATTTAGAGACAGGATATATCTCTTTCAGTATTACAAACAAAACAATGTAATGCAGTGCATGCACGTGAAATACACAAGTAAATTAGGAATGAAAAGCATTGCAGAAAAGGCTGTACATTTTATTCACAATATCCCATGTAGGTTTGGGGGCCCCGTTGTGGTGGAGATCTGCCTCCCTGAAAAACATGTAAGATTCGACTAATTGGGAGCTTCCTTCGAAGTCGAAGTGCATCTGCCTGAGAGGCAAGGAACCAACAGTGTGCAACCAGATAAGCCAGATATGTAAAATCGATATGCACGCAACACTTAGGTTCCGGAACAAGTCTAATATATAGATATGGATGAACAACCAGTACTTTCCGTCGGAGTTTTTTTTCGGTGAATTAACGTCATTATCATGTGTTTTATTAATTAGCTTGCACAAGCATACCTCGTCAAGGCCATTTTTTCTCTATCATTCATTGACTGTTTTGATATACAGTATTTCAGTTGTATGGTTGTTGCGATGAAAGTTGTGAAGAGGATGTGTAACTTGTAGAAGGTAGTTTGGTCATTGTTTTCATTCTTGGCACTCACAATATCGCTGGGGTTACCGAAGCCATTTTTTACCATATTGTGATCCTCTGTCCAATCGCTGGGAAAGTTAGGACCAAGACCAAAAACTGTTGGCTAGGCTGCTCTCAAGCTCAGTCTATTACCTGTTCCCATGTTATCTAGTTACCTTGATAAGGGCGCTAAAGAGGTACTCCACCTTTTCCCTAAACAGGTACTTCATCTTGGCCCTAAACAGGTACTCCACCTTGCCCCTAAACAGGTACTCCAACTTGCCCCTAAACAGGTACTCCATCTTGTCCCTAAACAGGTACTCCATCTTGTCCCTAAACTTGGTACTTCATCCTGACCCTAAACAGGTACTCCAACTTGCCCCTAAACAGGTACTCCAACCTGCCCCTAAACAGGTACTCCACCTTGTCCCTAAACAGGTACTCCACCTTGTCCCTAAACAGGTACTCCACCTTGTCCCCTAAACAGGTACTCCACCTTGCCCCTAAACAGGTACTCCACATTACCCCTAAACACGTACTCCACATCGCATAGCGATGTTCCGCACGCAGCAGAGGGAGGAGGCGCCCTACTCCTCTGATAGAGGATACCCATACCCTCCTATATCTGATCTGTGATTCTAGCGACTGTGTGAGAGGGCGAAACATGGCAATCTAAGCTTATCGGCACGGCACATGACGACGTAGATACGATTAAAGACTATTTCTCTCTCTCTCATCTCTTTGTACTTTTTACCATTTCTTCATGAGCTTTACCAGGTGAGACAATACGGTACAGTAGTCATTTTCTAAAGATATGACCATCACATGTTGACTTATGACCAACACATGTAGACTTAACGTCTTGATGTGTGTGCTACATTTCCTAAACGAGTTGCCTTCTTTTGAATCTCATTATTCCGCCATGTTCTCAAGGAATCAGAGGGGATAAATGTCAACATGCAAAACCACGACATTTCAGTAGTATAACCAAGAACAATTGACTGCTAAATAATGGGTGGTGTGATGTATGGGCTACTTCTGAGTTTAATGAAGCAAAGTTGTTAACAGATTAATCCTCACACGTGGCAAATTATTCAGGATTTTGTTTCTTGGCTAGTATGAGAGTCAAAGTCTTCCCCGAACAAGACAATCTGAAGCAACATTGACATTTTACTAACCTGTAAGTTTTTTATATGAAGAAACATTGACATTTTACTGACCTGTAAGTTTTTTATATGAAGCAAAATTGACATTTTACTAACCTGTAAGTTTTTTATATGAAGAAACGTTGACAGTTTACTAACCTGTAAGTTTTTTATGTGAAGAAACATTGACGTTTTACTAACCTGTAAGATTTTATGTGAAGCAACATTGACATTTTACTAACCTGTAAATTTTTATATGAAGCAACATTGACATTTTACTAACCTGTAATTTTTTTTTATATGAAGAAATTTTGACATTTTACTAACCTGTAAGTTTTTATGGGAGGCAACATCGACATTTTACTAACCTGTACATTTTTATATGAAGCAACATTAAAATTTTACTAACCTGTAATTTTTTATATGAAGCAACATTGATATTTTACTAACCTGTAAATTTTTAAATGAAGCAACATTTACATTTTACTAACCTGTAAGTTTTTATGGGAAGCAACATTGACATTTTACTAACCTGTAAATTTTTATGGGAAGCAACATTGACATTTTACTAACCTGTAAATTTTTATGTGAAGCAACATTGACAATTTACTAACCTGTAAGTTTTTATATGGAGCAACATTGACATTTTACTAACCTGTAAGTTTTTATATAAAGCAACATTGACATTTTACTAACCTGTAAGTTTTTATATAAAGCAACATTGACATTCTACTAACCTGTAAGTTTTGTTTATATGAAGCAACTTTGACATTTAACTAACCAAAACCCTGTACATCACCAGAAAATGGACATTAACCAGGACGGTGTAATCTCAGTGGAGGAATTTATGGACACCTGTAGAAGGGCAAGTATAAGTGACGTGTATGTGTGTGTGGATTTGTTTACTCATTTTTTGTGCAGCTTAGTTCAGCTACAACGTGCATATCGGCAGGATGTGTTATATTTCATGTATATATGTATATTTCAGGTGAATCTTATTGACGTTTGTGAATATATCTGTTGGCAAAAATATAGAATTATTCATACTTGTAAATGTATGTATATATGGATGGATGGATTCGTGCGTGCATGCATGCATGCATGAATGTATGTATGTATGTATGTATGTATGTATGTATGTATGTATGTATGTATGTATGTATGTATGTATGTATGTATGTATGTATGTATGTATGTATGTATGTATGTATGTATGTATGTATGTATGTATGTATGTATGTATGTATGTATG